ATCCGCGTTTCTTGGCTTTGATGAGGCTCTTGAGTTCGCGTTCAAGAGCCGAGTACGCTTCGAAATGTACGGGTGTTCCACGTTTCCGGAAAAGCTTAAACGCGTCGGACTTTTTACGATAAACCTCAGTGCATTGCTGGTCCCACCAAGGGGAAGGAGGTTTCCTACGGAAAGACGTTCCTGGAACCGGCCGAGTTTGAGCTTGAAGCGCGCTGTCCAAGATCAGATTGGAGAGGAAGTTATATTCCTCCAACGGTGGAAGCCCTTCTACCGACGTTAGGGCATCTTCTATCACATTCTTGAACTTTGTCCAATCGATATTACGGGTAAGATCGTACGCGACGTTAACGGGTTCCGACGGATTGAACCCACTGGCAACTGAAACTTTGATCGGCAAGTGATCACTACCGTGGGGATCTTGGATCACATTCCACGTGCAATCCAACGATAATGAGTTAGAGCAAAGTGTGAGGTCTAATCTACTTCCATTCGAGGATGGGCCAGCCAAACGTGTTACTTCTCCATTGTTAAGAATTGTCATATTAAAGCTGTCGCAGAGGTCATATATCAAAGTAGAACGGTTGTCATCATACAGTTCCCCCCAGCCTGTACCGTGGGAATTCAAATCTCCCATAATCAACCGTGGAGCAGGAAGTACCGAACAGATATCTGAAAGTTGTTTGCGATTAACAACGGCTCTAGGAGGAATATAAACAGAAGCAATACAAAGGCTCTTACCTTTAATAATAGCCTGACATGCAACAACTTCAATACCTGGAAATTGTGGAAGATTCACTCTATAGAAGGAATGGCACTTTTTGATCCCCAAAAGTACCCCTCCTCCACGCGAATCCTCACGATCCAGTCGAATAATGTTAAAATCATAAAAAGGAAGATCGATATCTGAAGAGAGCCAAGTTTCACAAACAGCAAATGCATCACAATCATTATTGTGAATTAAAAACTTAAAAGAATCTAATTTAGGAATGAGACTTCGACAATTCCACTGTAGAACAGTGATCAAATCCCCGACCTCGTTTGGAAAATTATCCATCGAAGGAAATGATTGCTGCAATGAGGGGCCACTTCAATGTCAATTGCTTCAAGAGGGTCTTCACAGAAGGAAGCATTGCCAGAACAATGCTTTTGAGAGGATCAGAAATATTGAGGTACTTGAGAATATCGTCCACAATTTTATCAAATGAGAACAACCCGGATGAAGAAGGGGCTTCTGTTCTTAAAAATGGGCCATCAGGGGTTTTTGATGTCCCCGGAAGAGATGGAAAATTCTGGTTATAATCAGTTCTGCGGAAACCAGGAGGAGTTGAAACTTCCTTTTTTCCATCACTCCTTGATTTGGGCAAGCTGATTTGGGGTTCCTTATCTGCAACTTTCCGCGAACGGATGCGTTTTCGTTTCCGTGCAGAACCTTCCGGAAAACTGAAAGAAACTCCCTCCTCAGCCAAGTCAGAGTCAGACTCGTCATCAGACAAAACAGCAAAGGGATTTTTGTCGTTGGTTGATGGTGTGGCTGTTTTTAGCATTACTGCAAAAGACTGCCTGGAACGCTCCTTAAGAGAGCGTTCTAGTTTCTCCCCGCGTTGTTTGTACGCCGGGCACGATGAGAGACCATGAGGAGTTCCCTTACAGTACACGCATTTTGGTGCAGTGACTGTGCAGGCGCCATCCTCGTGCTTCTCCCCGCATTTGGAACAGCGTGCCTTGCTGCCACAGTGAGAAGCCGTATGTCCCAACTGTTTGCAATTTTGGCAGTTCATGACCCGAGGAACAAACAAACGCACAGGTAGCCGAAGTTTTCCCAACTCGATGTAGTGAGGAAGGGCTGAACCAGAAAAGGTCACCCGAAACGAGTCTGTGGGGGTAAAGCTCTTTTTACCCTCGCTGAAAGATACTGAGTTCAGCTTCTGGACTTCCAGTATCTCAACCGTGGGAAGCAAGGGGTTCTTGAAACGGCCAACCGCTTGCTTCGCCAAGATCTCGGGGGTCAGACTCGCTTCGGTGACCACACCTTCGATCTCCACATTACGAGCTGGGATGTACACTCTATACTCGAGTGTAAAGAGCTGGGAGGCAGCAATCTCGTTAGCTTGTTTCAGGTTAGAGACGACAACGCGAAGTTTATTGTACCTCACCTTCGAGATTTCGGTCACGGCCGAGAACCGCTTCGTCAGATCATTAGTAATTTGCATTACATTCAAAGGTTTCTTTTTGGGCTGAAAGTAAACAACCCATGGGCCAGTCGAGTCTTCTGGGTAGGCTCGCGATCGGGGGCTTATCTGTCCCTGTCCATTACCAGACTGAGATGACGAACCAGGGATGGCATCATCTGATTTCTGGGATGACAGACGTTTTCGACCCTTCTTGCTATCGCGTGGCAAAGTGGTGTCATCTTCCGACAAAACGTCCATTTCGTCTTCCGACAAAATGTCCATTTTGCCGTACTAGTGGGAGCGAAAAACGCTCTACCACTGCAACGATAATCAAAATTACTCGGACACAATACACGAGAAAAAAAAATACAAACACAGAAACACAAACTTAAAATTTAACTGATGGGAGAAAGAAAGAAACAAGAAACAAAAACTTATCTGATAATCCTATACTACTATCACCGAGCGTTTACACAGCAGCAGCGGAGCGACGCGCAGCTTTGATGATCTTCGATCCGCGTGTGCGGGCGGTCTTCGTTGGTGTGTGCTTGTATGAAGCTCGGCACTCAGCTGAACACACGAGATGGATGAGCGGTTTGAATGTGGAGGCAGATGCTGACACTCGCTGACGATGATCCGTGTGCACAGGTATGCGTGACCACGCACCGATGGTGCGCAAAATGGTTGGCGAATTGGCAATCGCAAAAACAATTTTCCTTCCGATGATGCCGAAAACACACTTTCTTCTCAGAAAAAAACTCACTTTTTGATAAATTTATCGGGAATTATGCCAGGAATCACTAAGCGAGGAAAAACTGATTATTTACGTCAGATAATAGCGAGAAAACTTCCAAATTAACGGAGCGCGAAACAAGTCGACCGTACTTCTTGCTAGGACGCAGTGAGATGCCACCGATTTGCTTCTGTAATTGCGAACAAAGCGCAGGACATAGGCAATTACCCGTTGAAGCTTACGGAAACTGCTAAACCTTGCAAAGACTGACAGAGCCTCGATTTTTTTCGCAACAATGGCTGTCACCTTCAGCTCTGGAATCTATAATTCCCGAATCGACGCTGGTTGAGGACTAGAGTATTCCTCTTCCCTCAGGAACTCAGGTCCACTTCACCAGATGTTGTTTTAACATAACATGGCTGGAGCCTGACCTCGGGACACCACGTCAGCATGATTGTGTTTTGTGTTCACGTACTTCCACTTGTAACGATTGGTGAGCCTGTTGATATCTGCCACGCGGTTTCGGACGAAAGTTTTCATAGCAAGCAGCTCCAGTCTTGGGATTGTAATCACCTTCAACGGTGCCACTCTTGACTTAGCACACATAAGGCGCAGCTCCGCACTTCCGTCAGCCAACACACTTCGCATATATATGCAGGCTCCATACGCTACTATCGAAGCATCCGCGAACCCGTGAATCTCGTGCCGAATGGCACCAGACATCATAACACATCTTGGCACTTCTGATTCAGCGTTGTCAGTGAATTTCGAAAATTGACCCACTCTACCAGAATGTCTTCCTCCAGTTCATCATCCCAGTTCATCTTGGAGGACCAGAGTTTTTGCATTATGATCTTGGCACAAACTATCACCGGTGAGACAAGTCCCAACGGATCATACAACTTCGAAATTTCAGCAAGGACGTTCCGCTTCGTTAGCGATCGGTTGGTGGCTTCTTCTGGCCAATTTTCGTACGTGACTGATCATTCTTCGTATTCCAAAGTATACCCAGTGCCTTGATTCCTTCCTTCATACCATTTTCACCAATCTTCACTAATTTTTCTCTTTCTCCTTCAGGCACACTTGCAAGCACTACTGTTGAATTCGAACTCCACTTGCGAATTGGAAATCCTCCAGCAGACAGCAACTGTTCCACTTCCAACAAGCGTTGAGCACCTTCTTCTTCTGTGTTTGCTCCAGATAGCATATCATCCACGTACATATCTTCTTTCACCATCTTCGACGCAACTTTAACTGCTAACTACACCAAGCTTCTGGTTGCAAGAAATGGTGCTGCAGCCATTCCGTATGTCACTGTTATCAGTTCCAAAACTCTCAGCGGCTTTGAAGGGTCCTCCCTCCAGTAAATCCTCAAGACTTCTTCTTCTTATTCGCGTTTCAAGCTTATTGCTTAGCGCATATTAGCTTATTGCGTGCTCTCAACTTAGTGTTCTAAATGCACTTCCACAGTTATTAATTAAGAGCTTTCGATGCCAATACCAATGCATGAATTTGTATATTGTGTGGCAAGCACAATGATACTCTATGCCCAGGGAAGTCGAGAAAATTCCCAACCCGAAAGATTCCCTCGACTGGACCGGGAATCGAACCCGCCGCCTCTGGCTTGGTAATACCGTGCCTTTACTGACTAGGCTATGAGGCCTCCATATCCTCAAGAATCGGGTGTGAATTCTATCGAGACCGACCTGCAGGAACATTTTGGTTACGTCGCCAGAAAATCCAAACGTATGGCGCCGGAAACGAAGATCCACGGAAAATATATCGTTCTACACGGTTGGTTCATCACATCGTTCAGGGAGTACTTCGATGATTTTGCGCTAGCGTCAATTTAAACACTGCATGGTGCGGTATGTAGTATCGTGGTAGTCCAGATACGTCAGCTTCTTCTCTGATCTCATTACTGTGCCCAAGTGATTCGAAGTCTCACAATACTGACTTCTCAGTTCTGGATTCCGGGATAATTTCCACTCAAGTGCGCAGAAACGCTTCAGCGCTAGATTTCTGTTGTCATCAAGTTCTGCGACAGTTTCCCGAAGCGGCATCTGGACCACGAAGCGACCAGATTCGTCCCGGTGCTAGGTTTCCAGGAAATGTAGCTCAATTTCTTGATCTTCAGTGTTGAAAGTCACCTCCTCAACGAACCAAAATTTTTCCAATTTCTCACCTAGATCAGTGACGATCCAGCCTAGATCTGTTTCTCGTAGAGACGTTGCACCATTGGACAGGACCACCTTCTTGGTTCGAAGCAAATCCCAGACGTAATTAGAAGCAAGCACCAAATCGATTTCGCGTGGCTTTAAAAACTCTGGATCCGCTAGCTGCAACCCTTGTGGTAGGTTCCACGAAGATACATCAATCGCTATTGACGGTAGATTCCCAGTCGGTCTTTCCGAAATTAGGCATGTGATGTTGCCTTGAAGCGAGCAGTACCTCGACGAGAAATTCAGGTTCAATCCTTTCTTTGCTTGAGTCTTCACTGCGTTTGCTCCTACCACTGTAATGTTGCATTTCAGGGTCGGTAAACCGAGAAGTTGTGCCATCGATTCCGACAAGATATGTGCCTGTGAACCCAAGTCCAACAGCGCACGAAAAGGATGAAGCTGACCGTGTACATCCTCCACATCGATAACTGCTGTCTGAAGCACCTGTTTGGCCGATTGTGACAACCCGCCACCGAGACATGACGTTGTTACCGAAACACTACTTCTACTTTCCTGTGGATCTGGATCGATCCTGCCAGCAACATCCGTTTTTGCTGCAGGTAGCTCCTCTGGCTTGTCCTTGGGCTTCTGTGGTACTTGCGCTTCTGGCTGATCCTGGTGAAGCATACTGTGGTGCTTCTGGTTATACTTTGAACACGTTCTCTGGGACGAACATGACCTGCCCGTATGGCCCTTACGCAGACAGTTGAAACAAACCCTGGCTTCCTTCACTTTAACCAATCGTTGCGCAACGCTCCTGCTGTGAAAAGTGCTGCATTTGAAATTCGGATGGTCTCCACCGCACAGCTCACGGACGATCTCGCTAGACACTGTGGTTGCAGCAGATATTTTCGATGATTTGCTTGGTGGTGCCTTGGTAGCTGCTTGCTTGATAAAAGGCACCGATGGTGCCGACGATTCGCACCGCTCCAGTACGAGACACCGCTTTCTAACGAATTCCATAGTTTCCACATACTTCGGGAGGTCTCCATGGTCGATCGTACCTTCCCATAACTCCCTTGTTTCTTGATCGAGGGCACCTGATAGAATATGGACTATGATAATCTCCGAAACTCCTAACAGGTGCTGTTCGTGGAACTTCAGGTTTTCCATATGTCTTGAACATTCATCGATAAGGCTACGCAGCTCCTTAGAGGACTTTTTTGCCATCTTCTTCAGCTGCATGGTACCTTGTACGTGAACGTCGATAATCAACCTCTTATTTTCATAGCGTTGTTCCAATATCTGCCAGGCTTGTTGATAATTGTTATCTTGGATTGTTTCAGCGTCAAGGATTGCTGCTGCACTTCCTACCAGTGACTTGTCCAGATGAAAAAGTTTCACTGCATCCGAATCTGGAGAATTCCGCATCAAGTACTGGAACATCGACTTGACTTTTGGCCAATTTTCGTAACGCCCATCGAATGTTGGCAACGGGGCACGAAGAGCTTGCTGGTGGATGACAACTTGCGGTTGACCGTTTTGATGCACTCCAGCGATTCCGATTCCGATTGGCGTTCTGAGCGTGAGCTTCCATTAGCGTCTCAATAAAAACTTGCACCTCGTTATTGAGCTCCTCGAACTCGATGAGCTTGCCTACATGATTTTCCCTCTGGTTTTCCGGAATATTTTGCATTATTATGTTATGTACTTCGTAGTACTCACCATAATATTTATCCACATTCCTTGAGTGGACACGAACTTGGGGCATGGACATAGCTAGAGGCTCTGCTTGCGCTGCCTGGACCACGGCATTGATCCTCGACAACTTCCCAACAAACAATTTGAGTTGATTAACAGCTGAATAAGCCATTTTTAAGCTGAAGAAGCTTATTTTTGCCTGGATAAGCTCTTATTTTTTTTTTTTTTTTTTTTATTTTTTTTTTTTTTTTTTTTTTTTTTTTTTTTTTTTTTTTTTTTTTTTTTTTTTTTCATTCAATGTTTGTTGGGTTGCTCTTCACTGCTCCGCGTTTAGAAATCAACGACTTCAATTCCGCCATCTTTTCCTCCGTTGTTTTCTTCGGTGTGGTCATGGGGGTTTTCTTTTCTTCTTCGGTTTCTTCTTCGTGATCAGTGTCCGGATGACCTTGTAGAATGCGCTTCAAGTGAACGGATGCTCGCTTACAAAATCCTTGTCATAAAACATAAAAACAGCTTAGAAAAACATAAAAATAGCACACATTTTACCACCAACCACTGGTCTATTCCGACATGGTTATCTTCGTACAATAACAAAAATCAACAAACGATAACAACGAAACCATTTCCTGCGTTGCAAAAGAACAGGCAAAAGACGCCACTAACGTAAGTAAGACTAATGGCTTCAACCCGTTTTATCCTCGGATTTAATCCCGACCAAGAATGTCCGTCTGCTTTGATGTCGACATCAGAGTCAATCAGCATGACTCTAAGTAAACATTTTGCAGATCATCTAAACAGAGATGGTATTCAAATGCTTGAAATGCGAAGAAGAAGAAGAAATATTGAATGTTAGGCAAAGGCCGTAGATAAGTAATGTACTGCATATGACGGTATAGTAAAGAATGTTAAAACATATCTTAAGGGTCGAACACAATGACAGTGTAACACAAGAAGTGGCGTTGCAGAGCGCAGATCTTTCTTTCAGTGTATTTTTTTAACCATTGGTTTATTTATATAAATAAAAAATATTCATGCCTCATCCGTATATATTTTGGGTAGGCGGCCTTATTAATCTTTAACCAAAACCCTTAAGTAACACATGCGTTATTGGTGAAAATTTTGAGTCACTTTTCTAAAGTTGTCAGAACTTCTCTGAAGTTTCCAACATCTAACGTAAGTTCATTGAACATACTTATGGATCCCGTAATTTTCATTAAGTACTCAGAACTTCCCAAACTTCACGTAACATCTGTGAAGATATCTAAGCTTTTCGTGAATTTCTGTGGACTTTTCAATGTTTTATAGACATTAAAAAAAAAAAAAATCAGGACTTTCCAGTAATTCACTGGATTTCCCTGAAGTCCTCCAAACTTCTTACACGTACCCAATTTTTTCCCTGAGGTTAATGGAATGGTCTTACAAGTTACAAAATGTTCTTGGATCATCCTTAAAAGCTCCTTCTGGATTCGCTGAAGTTCCCAACATTTACTAGACACTCTCGGAACTTCTCTTAAGACACCACGATTTTCCTGGTGTTCATCTTCTCTAACGTTCCCGTTATTTTTCTGGAATTCTCGAAACATATTTGAAGTTCTCTGAACTTCTGTGAAGTTTCCTAGTATTTTCTGAAGTTTTCTTTACCTTTTTGGAGTTCTTTGGACTTCGATGAAAATTTCCGTAGCTTTCAAATCCAAATTTTCTAAAAATTAAAACCAAGTTAATCCGTTTGAATTGACTGAAATTTAAAACCAAGTTAATTTACGTTGACCATCTGGCGGAGAAGAGTAATGTGAGCGTGGCCCTCGAATTCATAAAACATTTTCGAAAGTTTTAAAACATACCAGCCTTCTCCAGATGGTACTGGGTAAGATGCGCCAACGCGTGATTGGTTGGCAGCCGATCAACGCTAGGATGTGCAATTTGAGGATTAAGGGCCGTTTCTTCAACTACAGTATCATCAACGTGCACTGCCCACACGAAGAGAGACCCGATGACGATAAAGAAGCGTTCTATGCGCAGCTGGATCAGGTGTACGACGGCTGTTCGCAACGGGACGTAAAATCGTCATCGGCGACATGAACGCTCAGGTAGGACGGGAGGCAATGTATAGACCGGCAATCGGGCCAAACAGCCTGCATGCCGTATCGAATGACAACGGCCAACGATGCGTGAACTTTGCAGCCTCTCGGGGTATGGTAGTTCGAAGTACCTTTTTCCACAAAGCCACCTGGATATCACCTGACCAACACACAGAAAACCAAATCGATCACGTTCTAATCGACGGGAAATTCTTCTCCGACATTATCAACGTCCGCACGTACCGCAGTGCGAACATAGATTCGGACCACTATCTAGTTGCAGTATGCATGCGCTCAAAACTCTCAACGGTGCATAACACACGTCGAAGTCGAACGCCGCGACCCAACATTGAGCAACTACGGGACGCCGGAGTTGCCCAGGACTACACGCAGCAGCTGGAAGTTGCACTACCCACGGAAGAGCAGCTTGGCGCAGCTTCTCTTGAAGATGGCTGGAGGGACATCCGTTCAGCCATAGGTAGTACTGCTGCAGCGGCAGTAGGTACTGCAATCCCGGACCGAAGAAATGACTGGTTTGACGGCGAATGCAAACTGTTAGTAGAGGAGAAGAATGCAGCACGGGCGAGAATACTGCAACACCGCACGAGATTGAATGTGGAGCGATACAGACAAGCGCGGAACAGACAAAACTCGGTTTTCCGAAGGAAGAAGCGGCAGCAAGAAAACCGAGATCGTGAGACGATGGAAAATCTGTACCGCGTAAACGACACACGGAAGTTCTATGAGAAGCTAAATAGTTCGCGCAAAGACTACGTGCCGCAAGCCGATATGTGCAGAACTTGGACGGTAACCTTCTCACGAACGAGTGTGAGGTGATTGAGAGGTGGAAGCAGTACTATGACGAGCACCTCAACGGTGATGCAGCAGAAAACGAAGGTGGCACGGCCACAGACCTTGGAGCACACGCAGAAGACGACAGGTTACCGGCCTCTGATCTTCAAGAAGTTGAGGAGGAGATCGGTCGGCTGAAGAACAACAAAGCAACTGGTGTAGATCAACTACCAAGTGAGCTATTAAAATACGGTGGTGAAGCACTGGCTAGAGCGCTGCACTGGCTAATTGCCAAGATTTGGGAGGAGGAGATATTACCGGAGGAGTGGATGGAAGGTGTCGTATGCCCAATCTACAAAAAGGGTGACAAGTTGGATTGCTGCAACTATCGCGCGATCACACTGCTGAGCGCCGCCTACAAGGTACTCTCCCAAATTCTATGCCGCCGTCTGTCACCATTTGCAAGAGAGTTCGTGGGGCAATACCAGGCGGGATTCATGGGTGCCCGCGCTACCACGGACCAAATTTTGGCAATTCGGCAGATTCTGCTGAAATGCCGCGAATACAACATGCCCACACATCATTTGTTCATCGATTTCAAATTCGCATACGACACAATCGATCGAGATCAGCTATGGCAGATTATGCACGAGTACGGATTTCCGGATAAACTGACGCAATTGGTCAAGGCGACGATGGATCGAGTGATGTGCGTTGTTCGAGTATCGGGGACACTCTCGAGTCCCTTTGAATCTCGAAGGTGGTTACGGCAAGGTGATGGACTTTCGTGTCTGCTGTTCACCATCGCGTTAGAAGGTGTGATCAGAAGAGCTGGGATAGACACGAGTGGCACGATATTCAGGAAGTCCATCCAGCTCCTTGGCTTCGCCGATGACATTGACATTATGGCACGGAACTTTGAGATGATGGCGGAAACGTACATCAGACTGAAGGCTGAAGCTAGACGGATTGGACTTGCCATCAACGCATCAAAGACAAAATACATGAAAGGAAGAGGTTCTAGGGAAGACAATGTTAGCCTCCAACCCCGAGTTCAGATTGACGGTGACGAAATCGAGGTGGTCGATGAGTTCGTGTATTTGGGCTCACTGGTGACCACCGAAAATGATACCAGCAGAGAAATTCAAAGACGCATTATGGCATGGAATCGTGCCTACTTTGGACACCGGAGGACGCTCCGGTCGAATAAAATTCGCCGCCGCACGAAGTTGTTTGTCTACAAGACGCTGATTAGACCGATGGTCCTCTAAGCCCACGAGACCTGGACTATGCTCGTGGAGGACCAACGCGCCCTTGGTGTTTTCAAACGGAAGGTGTTGCGTGCCATCTACGATGGAGTGCAGATGGATGACGGAACGTGGAGGAGGCGAATGAACCACGAATTGCACCAGCTGCTGGGAGAACCATCCATCGTCCACGTTGCAAAAATTGGGCGACTACGGTGGGCTGGGAACGTCGTAAGAATGCCGCACGACGACCCAGTGAAAATGGTTCTAGAAAGCGACCCAACAGGAACAAGAAGAAGAGGCGCACAGCGGGCAAGGTGGATCGACCAAGTAGAAGGTGACCTGCGGACCCTTCGCAGACTACGAGGCTGGCAAACTGTGGCTATGGATCGAGTAGAGTGGAGACGACTTCTTCGGACAGCAGAGG